ATTCATTTTCTCTCCGTTTGCAGGGGATTTGCTGCCAGTATAAGTACTGGGTTATTCTAATATCCATCCCAAATATATCAAGGTTACCCAGCAGTTATAAGAGATTTAAATTTTTTTTTTTTGCTTTAAGGCCATCGCAAATACAATGACGGCATGCAGAAAGACTGTGAAAACGAATCCATTCGTCCTGAAATTAAAATTTTGAGCAGAGTTGTACAAGTTCTACTATTTATCCCATATATGGGGGAGGAAATGGATTCATACTTTTCTTAAGTGTATCTGGGCAAAATTGAATGTAACGAGTCTGACTGGTATTCGAACTCAGCTCTCAGAGTTCTTATTCCGGGCCGCTATCATTACACCACCCGCACATCCACGCCTAACCAACGCATCCATTTGTCTTGACATTAAAATAGTGAACAAAATTGTACAAAAGGCAGTAAGATTGGAAATAATTTTTATTTTTTATTTTTGTTTCACTTCGCTATGGATTAAGCATTCCAGATTATGAATATAAAAAAAAACAAAAAAACAAATTAAATTTAGTAACAATAAATGGGGGTTCAGTTTGCGATGCAAATTCAAAGTAAATTGATCCTCCCTACGAATCCTCTTTGGGAAGTCCCCAAAATATATTAATACGATGTGATTTGTTAAAAAATAAAAAAATATTTTTTCTGAAATTTGTAATCTAGTGTTTAATCGATATTAATATAAAAAAAAGAATCACGACTTACGAATTTAAATTTTTTAAAAAATACAACATTACCAAAAATCGCTTATGTCCATTTTAAAAAAAATAAATACCTCTATGGTAATTGTTCTGGCAAACTTTGAGGCATTATGCAGGTTGTAGTGAGAATGGTAAATAAGAATGTGTTCATTTGGTGTAAGGAATACTGTGTTCAGTAATTGTGGCTAGCTAAATTTAAAATAAGACAGATTAAAAACCAATCTCTTCCGTGTCCTGGGTATGAGGATAAACTACATCCGCATCCTGGGTAAGACGATAAACTACGCCCAACAGCACGTGCTCTGATTAGGAGGTTTTGAGGAGCGTGGAACCACCTCTTGATTGCTGGTGTTCCCATATTCACCCTGACCCGGGGTGGTAGCACCTGTTAGGGTTCCAGCTATGGGCAAATAGTTAACCCAGAAACTCAGGTAAAAACATTATGAAAGTGTAAAAATAGGTTTTATTACCAGAAATACTTTGTAAAAAATTATTACCAGAAATAAATTTTTGAAGAAAAAAAACTATTACCAGCAATATGTTTTGGGAAAAAATATTACCAGCGATACATTTTTGAGGAAAAAAATATTACCAGAAATAGATTTTTGACAAAACAAAATATTACTAGGAAAAAAGTTGTTGTCATTAAATAACTCAGTGAGGTTATTATGCCGTAAACCTAACCAAACCAAACCAAACCAAGCCAATCTCCCCCACCCCCTTTTATTCTTGTGCTACATTTTTGTACTTGAAAAATAAGTATTTCTTTCCCGTACGATACGAAGGCTTTATGAATTTAAGCTCAATACTAGATTACCGGCAAGGTCTCCTCGTTTTACAGCTGAAATGGCTAGATGTAACCGTAAGTTCTATGCTAACAGTTTCTTCTCTTTCACTACTTACTTATGGCAATCTTTGCCGGCTTCTTGCTTCCTCGTCAACTTTCATCTTCAATAATTTAAATATAATGTCAATCGTTCTCTTTTGTCTTCTTAATTCTTGTTCTTTTATTGTCTTCCAACCTTGATAGAGTTTTTTATAGTCTCTTACATTCAGTAACCCCTTGCATCTTAGTGGCTTTATTGCCATTCTCGGGATTAAATGTTTAAAAAAATAATGTCCGTAATCACTAAAAAAGGGTAAAATACATTACACTTGGCAAACACTCTTGAGGATTCAAACGGCTATTCTGTATGAGAAGGGGGGTATCATTTTCTTTTTTTTTTTCCTTTTTTTTATTCCTTGTGGGGAGACATAAAAAATCTATTGTTGTGTCAAAGAGAAGAGAATGAAGAAAAAATAGTGTCGACATCGCTAAAGATCGCCCATTCATAGCCACTGGGAAAAGCATTTTCAGGACCACCAAAGACGTCAGGATGCTAAGTAAAACGGTTGAAGCTGTCATGAAGGCCGGACAAATATTCATCTTTTCAGGCGATCATGGCTCTCCACAGCTTCCCATTCTTTAGGGCTCTAAGTAAGTTTTGTTTCCTTACCGCCTCTTCAAGTTCATGTTCTTCAATCTGTTTACATAAGCTCATTAGTTAGATGTGGGATGTGCGGGTGGTGTAATGATAGCGGCTTGGAATTTTTGTCTCTGAGAGCCGAGTTCGAATTCCAGTCGGACACGTTACATTCAGTTTTGCGCAAATACGTTTGAGAAAGGTATGGAGCCATTTCCTCCCCCATATATGGGATAAATAGATTTGGAAAAAAATCATTGTTCTAAAATATTCAATCACCCCAAAACAAGAATATTATTCTTACAATCGAAAATATAATTCGATTTTAAATAAGCCGAATGTTGATAAATCGTAAAATAATAAATCAGTCAATCTTTGGCTAGGTTAATCATTGTTTTCCTTTGTCTCTCTCGCCATCAATATATTTCGTGAGTGTTAAATTTTCCAAGCCTTCTTTCCTCATTATGAGTCCGAGAAATTTCAATTGTCTTTTTCTGATTTTAAGGATCTGTTCTCTTTGTTTTCAGTTTTCTCAAAACTTTCATATTGTTCACATGCTACGTACATATTATTTTCGGTATCCATCTCTGACCAAGAACTACAATTAAAAAAAAAGGTCAGATGATACCATTATCAGACAGCCACAGAATTATCGTCTGAATCCACTTCTTGCTTTTTGAAATCAGTAAAAATCTCGTTAGAAACAAAGAAAAGAATACTGAACTATTACGCGATATGTGTCCTCCTGTATGGCAGCAAATGTTAGATAATCTTCCTAAAGACGAAGAAGAGACTTTGAAGCAACAGAAATGTTGTTCTACAGAAGGATACTGAGAATGCTATGGGTCGAACATGTGGACAATGACGAGGTTTAGGAGAGAAACAAAGAGGAAAGTTATATTTAATATCAGGAAGAGGCGGTTGAAATTTCTGGGATATGTAATGAGGAAGAAGGGCTTGGTAAATCTGATACTCACAGGACAGATAGTGGAGAGAGTGGAGGTCCATGATCAGTTACATCATGAAGGGACACAGCACTTAAAAAAAAAAAATAACGCCAGCTACATGGCAGACAAGAAAAGAGAGAAAATAACAGAAATCATCTGAAACGAGTTAATTTCGTCCATTTTGAATGGGAGGGTTTTGGATCTCTTCTTCATTCATCTAATTAGCTTCATACAATGGGTTACCAAGAAATTAAGGCTTGGCCTTAAACATCAAGAAAACGGCCTTCTTCCTTATGTGCTATGTCCCCTCAGGATGTAGGCGATCATGGCTCTCCATAATTTCCTGCCTATTGTAGCTCTTAATAAATTTTGTTTTTTTTGTTATCTTTCCAAAACCTAGTTCCACCCTCTATTTACTACGAATGACTTCTTGTGAAAGATAGTCGAGTAGTTTCCCGTTGACAGTTGAAATATCTAGGACACATAATGAGGAAAGACGGCTTGGAAACTCAAATACTCACAGGACAGATTGAAGGCAGGAGTGAGAGTGGAAAACAAAAGATAAGCTAATTTAAATCAGAAAAAGAGAGTTGAAATATTTAGGACAAATAATGAGGAAAGACGGCTTGGAAAATATAATACTCACAGGACAGATTGAATGCAAGTGGGAGAAAGAAAAATAACGCATAACATACTTCATGGGCTCAAGTAAATGGTTGGACAGGGTTTAGGAGAGATAACCAAAAGACAAAAATTATTAAGAGCTACAAATGATAGGAAGTTGTGGTGAGCCACGATCGCCTAGGATCTTAGGGGAGATGGCACATAAAGAAGCAGTCCTTTTTTCACGTATTCTTCGACTAACTTGAGTAAGACTACTTTATATTTCCGTTCTGCCATCAACGCTGTGAAGAAAGAAAATTACCATGTTGATACATATTCATTTTATTCCGAGTACTTTCGACATTAATAATTTGACCTTTACCAACCAGATGCTTCCCCTGTGGCTAAATGTTACAGCACGTCAGGCTATAGGATACAGGTTCGATTCCTGTCGGAAGGTATATATTCTCTGAGATTTCTCTGGCCGGTAAATGTTATTAATACTGTTTATTATAAAAAGCATTTCCGTAAATATTTGTAACTATGAAAATAACGTATAAACAGAAAAAGTATATATAAACTTTAAGAGGAATTTAATTTATCACCTAGAACACATGGAGGAACCTCAAGGAATTAGAATAAAAATTTATATGAACACAAAAGAAATCTGTTGACAAGCAACACACTAAATGAATCAGTTGCTAACTGTAATGATCCTAACAATAGTTTTGACTTAAAAATGCTACATGGATTAAAAGAGGAAGTAATTTACTAAGATAAAAGTGTATAGAAAGTGCTTTAATTGCAAGATCATTCGCAGTAAATTTTCATCCAGATACAACATTTACCTTTATAAATGTTGTATCTGGATATTTAATAAGAAAAGAAATATTTAATTATTTAATTAGAAGAAATATTTAATTATTTAATTATAACAATGTGGGATATTTAATAAGAAAAGTGACAGGATAATAATCAAGGAAAAAAATAAATTAAATCGGCGAGACGATATACACAAAATATTAAAAAAAAAAAGAAAGAAATGAAATTTAAATTTAAAATTTACTCCCTAATGCGCATGTGCAATATTCTTCTTCTTCTTCTTCTTCTTCTTCTTCTTCTTCTATGTGCTGTGTCTCTTCAGGATGTTGGTGATCGTGGCTCTCCATAATTTCCTGTCCTTTGTATCTATTAATAAATTTTGTCATTTAATTTTCCTAAATCCATCAAGTTACTCAATTTCTTAGGTAGGCTATGCATTGTTTTTGCTCTTTCTGTCTCGCCTTCTTGCCCTCTCTCTTTATCTCTCTCCCTATCTATCACAGTCTTTTCATATCTATCTATCTATCTATCTATCTATCTATCTATCTATCTATCTCAATCTGTCCCCCTGTGTCTCTGTGTGTGTATATATATATATATATATATATATCAATAATGGCAAATTGTAATTGGTAGGGATTATTCCAAAGAGGACTTTTAATCCATATAAGAGATCAATGTATGATAGCTAATTATGATAATAAGAAGGAAAACAGCTTAAAAATCCACCAAATAAATAAATTTTTTCCAGCCTATTACCGTATTTTCTTTTCCATTATTTGATCGCATGGAAAATTGTATAAAAAACTAAATAAAATGTCTGTCGTTTTGAATGAAAATATATATATATATATATATATATATATATATATATATATATATATATATATATATATATAAAGAAGGCTACATTATTATTTTCAAAAATAAATGAATAAACGCACGACGTTGTGTGTAATAGAAAGGGTGGAGGAAGATGTAAAGAAGACGACGACGAAGAAGAAGAAAAATGAAGAGAAGAAGGAGAAGGAGGAGAATAATAATAATAATAATAATAATAGGAGGAGGAGAAGAAGAGGAAGTAGAATGAAGTGAAGAAGGAGGAGGAGGAGAAGGAGAAGAAAAAGAAGAAGAAGAAGGAGTAGGAGGAATAGGAAGAAGAGGAGGAGGAGAAGGAGAATGAAGAGAAGGAGGAGGAGGAGTAAGAGGAGAAGAAAAAGAAGAAGGAGGTGGAAGAGGAAGAGGAGGAGGAGAAGAAAAAGGAGAAGGAGGAGGAAGAGGCAGTGAAGAAGAAGAAGAAGAAGAAGAAGAAGAAGAAGAAGAAGAAGAAGAAGAAAAAAAATAAGTGCATCGTAAATGTATTGTTGGAGAATTAAATTAACTTTTTTATCCAGCCTCATATGCACTTAAGAAAAATTTTCTGATATGTAAGGAAGGACTCAAAATTCTCATTTGATAAAAATCGCCCGAGGAAGCCGTAAGGTTGAAACCAAAGTACAGGATTCAACTGACCTCCTCATTTTTAAAGTTAATACCTCTACATGTTATTTTTTTTTCATCCGTGTATTGAGCACTTTTTAATACTACTCTTTCCTGGTCTGATTCAGCTCTGACTATTAACCTTTATATATATATATATATATATATATATATATATATATATATATATATATGAAATATTTCTCAGAGTTAACCTGTAGAAAAAGATAATATTTATAAAGGTAAAAGACAGTAAGAAAATTCATTTCGTTTTTACCTTGAAAACGCATCGGCTAATAATACAGTCTTCCTATTGTCTTTTACCATTATATATATATATATATATATATGTATGTATGTGTGTGTGTGTGTGTGTGTGTGTGTGTGTGTGTGTGCGCGTACAACAATACCAATATAAAAAATAAGAACATTATTAATTTATACTTTCCTTTCTCACCAGATTCATAAAATTCTTTTTAATGACAAGTAATGTCCTTGAACAAATACCTCATGAGCAGTTTTTCTTTAAATTTAATCCGGATGTGCGACAGCTAATACGCAAACTGGAAAAATGTGATAATGAATTAAACAGACGGCACTTGTCTGAATGCATTGTAACTCCCTTAGCATATGTTTTTCTCTCTCTCTATCTTCTCTCTCTCTTTCTCTCTCTCTCTTTCTCTCTCTCTCTTTCTCTCTCTCTCTTTCTATCGGTCTGTCTGTCTGTCGCTCTATATCTCTCTATCTCTCAGTATCGATCTGTCTGTCTGTCTTTCGCTCTCTCTCTCTCTCTCTGTATTGGTCTGTCTGTCTGTCACTCACTCTCTCTATCTCTCTGTATCGGTGTCTCTTCTGTCTCTCTATCTCTCTGTATCGGTCTGTCTGTCTATCAGTCGCTCCCTTGCTATATCTCTCTGTATCGGTCTGTCTGTCTATCAGTCGCTCCCTTGCTATATCTCTCTGTATCGGTCTGTCTGTCTGTCTTTCGCTCTCTCTTTCTCTCTCTCTCTGTATTGGTCTGTCTGTCTGTCACTCACTCTCTCTATCTCTGTGTATCGGTGTCTCTTCTGTCTCTCTATCTCTCTGTATCTGTCTGTCTGTCTATCAGTCGCTCCTTGCTATATCTCTCTGTATCGGTCTGTCTGTCTGTCTTTCGCTATCTCTATCTCTCTGTATTGGTCTGTCTGTCTGTCACTCACTCTCTCTATCTCTCTGTATCGGTCTGTCTGTCTATCAGTCGCTCCCTTGCTATATCTCTCTGTATCGGTCTGTCTGTCTGTCTTTCGCTCTCTCGCTCTCTCTCTGTATTGGTCTGTCTGTCTGTCACTCTCTCTCTCTCTCTCTCTGTGTATCGGTGTCTCTTCTGTCTCTCTATCTCTCTGTATCGGTCTGTCTGTCTATCAGTCGCTCCCTTGCTATATCTCTCTGCATCGGTCTGTCTGTCTGTCTTTCGCTCTCTCTCTCTCTCTCTCTCTCTGTATCGGTCTGTCTGTCTGTTACTCTCTCTCTGTGTCTCTCTGTATCGGTGTCTCTGTCTGTCTGTCTGTCTGTCTGTCTCTCTATCTCTCTGTATCGGTCTGTCTGTCTCTCTATCTCTCTGTATCGGTCTGTCTGTCTCTCTATCTCTCTGTATCGGCCTGTCTGTTTGTCGCTCTCTATATCTGGCGCCGTATTTCTGTCTCCTTTTCTCTGTTTCTATGCCTGTCTGCCTGTCTTCGTCTATGTATGTCTCTGTCTCTCTCTTTCTCTCTGTGACTTTGCCTCTCTCTTTCTCTCCGTCTCTGCATCTCTTTCTATCTTTGTATCTGTATGTGCGTCTCTCTCTCTCTCTCTCTGTCTGTGCCTCTGTCACTCTCTTTCTCTCTATCTCTCTATTTCTCTCTGTATTTCAGTTTCTCTCTCTGTATCTGTCCCTCTCTCTCTCTGTCTCTCTTTCTCTCTGTCAGTTTCTCTCTATCTCTCTGTCTTACCTTCTCTCTCTTTCTCCCTGTTTCTGGATCTCTCTCTCTCTCTCTCTCTTTGTTACTCTCTCTGTGTTTTTGTAAGCCTCTCTCTCTCTGTGTCCCTGTCTGTCTTTCTCTGTCTGTATGAGGTTCTATCTCTCTTTTTCTCTGCCTTTGTCTCTCTCTCTGTATTTTTATCTCTCTGTTTCCATCTCTTTTTCTCTCTTTGTCTCTGTCAGTTTCTCTCTGTCTCCCTGTGTCTCCTTTTCTCTCTTTCTCACTCTGTATATCTCTTTCTCTGTCTTTCTCTCTCTCTCTTTCTATCTCTCTCTTTCACTCCGTCTCTCAATTTCTCTCTGTATCTCTGTCTCTGCCTGCCTTCTGTGTCGCCGTCTCCCTCTTTCTCTCTGTGTATTTGTCTTTCTCTTTCTCTCAGTCTCTGCATCTCTTTCTCTTTCTACGTCTCTGTCATTCTCTATCTGTATGTCTCTCTCTCTCTGTCTCTCTGTGCCTTTGCCACTCTCTTTCGTCCGTCTCTCTATTTCTCTCTGTCTCTGTTCCTCTCTCTCTGTCTCTCTTTGTCTCTGGCAGTTTATCTCTATCTCTCTGTATCACCTTCTCTCTCTTTCTTCCTATTTCTGTATCTCTCTCTCTGTTTCTGTCAGTCTTTCTCTCTCTGTCTTACCTTCTCTCTCTTTCTCCCTGTTTCTAGATCTCTCTCTCTGTTTCTCTCTCTCTGTTTCTGTCAGCCTCTCTCTCTGTCTCTGTCCCTGTCTGTCTTTCTCTGTCTCTATGAGGTTCTATCTCTCTTTTTCTTTGCCTCTTTCTGTCTCTCTATATCTCTTTCTCTCTCTCTTTGTCTCTGTCAGTTTCTCTCTATCTCTCTGTATCACCTTTTTCACCCTGTTTCTTTATCTCTTTCTCTCTCTCTCTGTCCCTGCCTGTCTTTCTCTCTCTGTATGAGGTTCTATCTCTCTTTTTCTCTGCCTCTGTCTGTCTCTCTGTATCTTTATCTCTCTGTATCTCTTTCTCTCTCTCTTTGTCTCTGTCAGCTTCTCTCTGTCTGCTTGTGTTTCCTTGTCTCTCTTTCTCACTCTGTGTATCTCTTTCTCTATCTTTCTCTCTCTCTGTCTCTATCTCTCTCTTTCTCTCCGTCTCTCAATTTCTCTTTGTCGCTGTATCTCTGTCTCTGCCTGCCTTCTGTGTCGCTGTCTCTCTCTTTCTCTCTGTCAACATAAATGTATAAAGTCTCCTAAAATCTACACCTCCCCTAAAAGATAAAGTATATTTCTTTTGACTTACATGACTACACTGCCTGTAGGTGGTCCTTGCTGTCATGTTTGGTGGTCGTAAGGGACACTTTGACGCCTCGGTTGTCCTTGCCATTCGAAGCTGACTCAAGAAACACAAGTCCCCCTGATACAGACTTTAGCTCCGATCCTTACAAGCCATTCTCCAGGGTCTTGTACGACATTTGCGTATATTTAGTGCTAACTTCTCTCTAAGGATTCTATTACTTTTCCTATTATTATCAACTAAACTTATTTCCCGATATATATATATATATATATATATATATATATATATATATAAAACCGGAAACTTAAAAAATTGCTTGATTCAAATGATTTAAGGTTTTGCATGTCTAAATTTTTATTTATTTATTTTTTTTTTTTTTACAAACGCTTTATAAATAATGAGTTTTATTTTCGGAATGGAACACCCTAATTCTAATATAACAAACATGCCATTTATTTGTAAAGAACTTAGTAATCATTATTCGCAATGTCATGTAAATACTGCAGAAGCCAATTCTTTGATTCCTTGTTAAAAGAAGTTAGAATTCTTGAAAAACATGATGAAACTATCAGAATCAACGTGGTGAGCAGTCGATGGAATATGGTAGCTTGCATTATTTACATTATTCGGACTGTAATCTTCATCTTCATTGCCATATTCACAACGTTTTGGCCGTTGTACGCTCCGGCCTTCTTCAGGTGATTGGAATTT